GATGCTTGTCATGGCGGTTGAACAGAGAGCCGACAACAAATTTTGTTTGAAGTTGGGCAAAACAGCTGGTGAAGTGTACAAAATGATGAAAAGTGTGTACGGTAGTGATTGTTTGAGTCACTCAAACATTTTTCGATGGTATGCTGTATATCATGATGGCAGGGAGGACATTGAAGACACTCCACATGCGTCAAAGCCGAGAACAAGTCACACTGAGGAAAATGTGAAAAAAGTGACTGAAATCCTTGCATCAGAGAGATGTGTTTTTGCAAGACTCATCGAGGAGCTTTTGGGAATACCAAAAAGTACTGTGCATCAAATTTTGACTTAGGATTTGGGCAAATGGAAGGTCTGTGCACGGTTTGTACCGCACACACTGTCAGGCGATGAAAAACATGCCAGAGCGGAACACTGCAAAGACACGTTACAGACGGCCAAAAGTGATACAAAATTTACAAAATTGATTGTTACTGGTGACGAGACATGGTGTTTTCAATATGAGCCTCTCACAAAGTGGCAGAGTGTAGCGTGGTTGAGCCCAAAGAAGCCGAAACCAAAGAAAGTGTGCATAAAAAAGAGTCGAGTAAAGACACTGCTAACCATTTTCTTCGATTCCAAAGGAATCATTCACAAGGAATTTCTGCCAGGTCAAACAGTGAATTCTGATTATTATCTCGGAGTCCTCAATCGTTTGTGGGCGAGAATCCTTCAAATTTGACCTGAATATCGANGTGTATATTAATATATTGTCATGCATTCGAGTGATAAACAGGTTTTGGATTGATGACTGGAATTATTGGACACTTCTATGTACAACTCATGAGTATATTACAGATGGCTGCCACAGTCAGACTAATGTTCCCAGTTACATTGCTTCATAGCAGCTTCCAACAGCGAACGTTTCTCTGCTTCCGGGCTCATATCCTTACAGGTTGGTGGCCATCTCACGCCAACCTCATACTCTGACCGTTGGCTTCAGCCAGACTTCCAACTGCCAACCTCTGACTTCAGCTGTCAGTTCACAACTGGCTTCCAACCTGAATTGGCTCTTTATGTAGCCTCAGTGCAGACAACATAGAAAACACCGCTTCCAACAGTTCCTCCATTGTTGCATATGTATGTTGCTTTGCGATGGCTCTTATTATCGTTGCGTTGTTACAAAGCTATTGCCTATGAATGGATGCTTCTCTGGTTCCTTATTGTGGATCTCAGGCCTCATTTCCCAATACCACCAACACAGACTTCTAGATCTTAATCTGGCATTAGTAAGGTGGGGTGTCACAGACCCCAACGATTTTAATTTGACTGTAACTCTTTAAGAACGCGTGGTAGTGAGTCATGCCTCAGTGTAACTTCCCCTCCTGTAACCCGCTACTAGATGCCATAGATGAAAGGCTGTTGCACGCAAGCAAGTTTAGTGTGCAGATGCGTAAAGTGTGCTGGGGTCCACCAGACCTTACCAAAAGTGTGACTATATTTACTTCCTAAACTCAAGTTGTTTTCATGTATTATTGTCACTGCTGTGTCTTTTACACAGGGTGTTCCTAAAAGAATGGTGGGATTTCATTGCCATATATCTCCGTCAGTTTTTGGTGATGAAAAGCAAAACATATATGGATTCATAACGCGGCTCTCAAATTGTCAATTGCGCTCTTTCCTAGTTCCATTTCCAACAGTTAGGTGGTGTAAAATGTAAGAGGGCGACCCAGCAGGAGAAGGCATATTGTGTGCTACGATTTGAGGTGTCTAAATCCATCGTTACAGTGTACTGTGAATTTCGTGTTCGTTTTCAGAAGGAGGTGCCACATGAAAACATTCACAGATGGTACCAGCAGTTTGTGGACAGTGGATGTCTCTGTAAAGGCAAGAGTTCTGCGCGGCCACATGTGCCACATGCACACATGGAGCAGCAGTGGCGGGTG